TTTCAATTCTTGTTTGCTTGATAAAGTAACAATTGAGATTTAATTAATCCAATTGATTTTCATTATAAGTAATTAAATTTTAGTACATGAAAAAATTATAAATGATTGAATGACATGAGAATATTATAAATGATTAGATTTTAGTAATTAAATCTTAATTAAATATTTAAGAAAATTCAAAAATAATAATGATTGAATGACATGAGAAACCATGTGAGACTTCAATGGGTCACATTGCATCCAAATAAGTTGTGGCATCCATTCATATTAGAGGACCGTTAGTTTTTAACAGAATATTGACATAGTTGTTAAATAAGGGCTGATTTGCCACTGTTCATGAGTTTAAGGGGTCATTTGCTATTGATTTCAGTTGAGGGGCTTTTTTGCCACCTCTTGACATGTTCAAGGGCTAATTTGCATGATACGCCCATCTTAAAAGAAGAGTTTAAACTTTTTTTTTTCTTTTGTATTAAATCTCTCAGTATCTGATAATCACATTAGATCCGACTAATTTGAAATCAAGTTACATCAAACCCTATTAAAGGGAAGTTCTCCCAACACATATTTCTCTATTCATAAGACTTGAATTTAAAACTTTATTTAAGGGAAACCAAACTCTTTCCAATTCGGCTCAACAAGTAGTTAATTTTAAACCCTTATTTTTCATCCCCAAACTTTCATGCAATGCCATGGGTCTCCTTCAGTTTATAAATTTCCCTTTTTAGCCTTTAGACTTTAATTTTTGGATTGGCATCTTCAACAAGCGATGTCAAAACAGGATGTGCGATTGCTTCTTTTATTTTCTACTGTAAATATTGTTTGGAAAGGGGGTGGAAATGTAAGAGGGTTGTGCATGTGTAAATATTTTGCTTACTTGAAAATTTTAGGAAAAAAGTTAAATCTATGTGGTATTTCAAGTACTATACTTCTTCAAACTAGATAATATTTGTGCTTTAACAATAATGTTATAATGAACTAAGTGTTTGTCTAATTTTCTTAAATATTATATTATTTTCTAGAGTTACATGTTTTTTAAATTTGACTTTACTATTAAATTGTAGTTTGTGCAATGAAATTACTAAAATGATATTGATGAAACAATATAAGAAGAGTTTTGTTAAGTGTATTTTAATAAATTTATATGTTAAACTGCACAATTTATTTTTACAATTAATTTATAGATAAGATTACAAGATCAAGAATTTTATAAATAAAACATGTTATTTTACTCAATTAAAAAAGTTCCTCCACATTCTTTACTTTCATACTCTATTTTATTTTTTAAAATATTATTCGGTAAAAAAGTGTTTTAAGTTAAGTAGCTTTATAGGTAAAACATATTTAAAAAGTGTTATTATGAAATTGTAGTATTGTAGGGTGACATGTTATGTATAATTTTTTCTTGCACTAGTAGATCTCCTATCTACAAAGGTGTGAATCAAGTACTTTAAAGCAAGTAAGTTTCTTATGTCTATTTTGATGACTTTTCTTATTGATATTTCCCTAATAAGTTTACTAATTATCAATCTTATTGATTTTGTTTTATCTAAAAAAATTATTGATTTTGTGATTGAAATACAATAGTAACATTATGTGAAGATAAATAAAAATATTCAAGAAATAACAATTTCAAAGTGATTCAATTTGCATAGAAATAAGTATATCTTGGTTATCTAATTCTTTTTGATACTAAAGGAATGTTTCCTTGAAATTAATTATGCTTAAGAGGTATTAAGATCAGATATGGGTATGCAGTTAAATTACTTGACCATGTTTGTATGCATTGGACTAGTACTTTGAATTATATGTTTTCATTGAAAATATTATTATGATATTTATAAAATTTATTTTCTAACAGCTAAAATAAGAAAAAGAGGAGGCAATACATTACCTTTTTTATTTTTTGTGTTAAGCAATGGATGCAAAACATGTGTTCTAATACTCTTAATGTAATACTTAATTAGTGACATATTTCCATTTTTAATGTATAATCTATGCTAAAAAAAACTTTTTTGAAGATAAAATCAAAATTGAAAACTAAAAACTTGTCTCATTAGTGTTGAGAGCATTTAGGTCAACCACAAAACCTTTTCTTTTTGGATACAAATTATAAAAAGAGTTATCATATGTGTGTAACTAACTTTTATAACTTGAGGAGTTATGTCCATACAAATCAAAACCAGAAGGTGG